ATCCCCGAGCTTCACTATTGGTCAGGCTTTTCTGATATTTTATTCCCTATATTTTTCCAGAAGCAGCTCAAAGATATTCCATAAAATTCGTTTGATCTCCTAGCCTGAATTAATCTTGCTGCTGAACAACTGTAACTTTTACTGCCTGAATTATTCAATTTTAAAATGGTAGCATATTGCCAAGTTATTGTCCTTTGTTCTAGTGAATCATTTTTAAATTCTACTTTATACCGTAGACTATACTAGGCACTAAGGATATAATGATGGGCAGAAAGATTCTACCTCATCCCTCTTGTTACCTTCGAGGAAAGATGAAGCATTAATGTAATTCTGAGAAATTAAAGAATAATAACATTAAAAAAGAAAGGGCAGTTACATAGAAGGGTCACCTATTGTAGTTTCAGATACTCGTTTGTACCTCTCTGACTTTAACAATGCTCTACATAATACTCCACTTTCTGGACTGATCTTTCAGAAATTCAGCTTCATTATGATTATGTTCTTCCTCCTTGTCGTCAGGTTATACTTCATTTCAATTCAATTTAAATTAAAAATATTTTTACTACAAATCTCTTTTCCTATTAATAAAGATTTGTCCACATTTTTGTCTTCACCAAAGAAGACTTCTGGTTTAGTATAAAACTTAAAACTCTTACTCTTTCTTTAAAATGAGAGGTGTGAGGCTGGGGATTTAGCTCAGTGGTTCCGCCACCTGCAGGGGCAAGGTCCCAAGTTCGATCCCCAGTATCAAAAAAATAAATAAACAAATAAAATGAGAGGTATAAACTAAGATTTTACTTTAATTCACAGGAAAACTGGTGACATTTAGTAATAGCAGAATTAATGGTATTGTCAACTTTGGAACACACAACTATTTATAGATAAATCAAAAATTATAAAGACAAAGCAAAGTATAATGTCAAGAATAAAGTTACGTGGAACTTTTCTATAAATCAATTGCTTAAAGAATAAAGAGAGAGTGAAGGAAAAAATTGATCAGATTGCTTTCCAAACAACTCTACGTGGCAAGAAACCATGAGGGACAAAAAATAAATTGTGAACAGGAATGAAAAGCAAAAACATTGTATTGTGTTGAGGATTAAGTTAAGAAACAAATTGTACTGTGTTAAGGATTAAGTGAATAATATTTACAACATGATTGCCTTTTAGGATAGTGGATTATGCATCACCTGCTCATAAAATAAAGGTGGCACAATAAACAGCACTTTCTCAGGTGCAACTCCTTCCAATGAACTCTAAAAATTAGCTAAGCAGAGCCAATGTGGCTCAGTGAGACACATCCAAAACCAACTCTCAGCTAAGTTGTTCCTGCCCTACCTATTTCTTTGATTACCACAATTTATTCTCCCTACTTTTTTTTATTCCCTTTCATTTTTCCCTATCATTTACTTCTCTGGGCCAATAAAAAATTAACAAATGTTCCAAACTCATAAATGCAAAAGTTGAGGTCAGTGTTTTCTTGCTCTCCCTTCCATCTGGAAAGGCAATCTTTGCCTTTTTTTTCAATACCAAGGATCAAACTCAAGACCTTATGCTTGCAAGGCAGGCATGGCACCACTGAGCTAAATCCCCAGCTGGAAAGGCAATCTTATACTGGAATGGTTTGAATAATAGTAGAAAAATGTACGTAGAAAGGAGTAAGATGTACCACAACTTTGTCCTTTGTCTTTGTGGTTGCAAAGAAGCCTAGAAGACTAGGAACTGGGCCTCCCCACGCCCTATATGACCTGTTGTCAGGGCAACAGGATGTGTGGAGAGCCCTGGCCTTTCTAGTGCCTCTTACTAAGGTAACAGCATATGAACTATCTTCTTTTATGCAACGATGCAGCTTCCCGGCCTTACTCTATGCTTCTCTTCTATGGGAAATTATATTTGTTCAGCAAAATCTAAGAGTAACACAACTTCAATACACAGACGACCAAAAGAGCAGGTTTGGGAGGAAATATCATAAGTGCATATATATTTTTAGTGTTGCTGGTAAAAACAATGCAGAGGAGAATTTTATTGGGGTGGCTTTCTAAAAAGAAGGACCTCTCAAATTTTATTTTTACAATACAAAGCATTTACTAATTGCTAGTGAGGTCAAAGAAGTACATGATAGATGATGAGCAAGAAGAAAAGAGAGTGATAGAAGGAAATGTTGAAACCAGAAAATTACATGGAAAAAAATATCTAGAAGCTAAGAGCAGATTATAGGTTTATATCTAATGAACTACCCCATAATTTAGTGACCAAGAAAGTATTTATTATTCTCTCACAATTTTGAAGAAGTCTGGCCTGACCTCACTCACTGTCCGGTTGGTTTGATCTAGAGGAGCCTCAGCTGGAAGGGTTTGTGTCCATGTAGGTCAGCTTGACCGGGCTTCTTCACATGCTGCTGGGAAGCTTCCAGAAAGCAGCCAGAGGGAGGAGCCCTGTCCCAGGCCCTTCCCAGCCTTCACTCGCATCACACCTGCGAAGGTCCGGTGGGCCAAAGTCAGCTACACACCCAAGGCCAGTATGTGAGGGATCATTCACAGGTAGAAATGCAGGAAGACATACATAAATGGGGTTTATACTAGACAACAACATGGAAAATTTTCTGGAAAATAAAGACCTGTTAGAAAATTTGAAATTTTTAAAGAAGAGGTGTGCTGGAGAATGAAATACCAAGAGGCCAACACAGAGAGACACTGGTCCCTATTGGAATCATTGAGAAGCACTGGACATTTTGCAAGTTCTAAAAGTTAGAAATGACCCCTCTAATCCATATACAAACCATCTCCAAATGGAGGCTAAGACAATGTATGGTTTGTATTCCATTTAGGAAGTAAAACAGAATAAACTCCACTAAATTGATTTTTCTGAAATTAATGAAAGAGGAAAATCTGTTCACTTTACTTCAGGAAAAAACATTCCTCTGTGCTGAAAATCTTTTATAACAAGAACAGAAGAGGTAGCTTTAGCAAGTATTACATACCTAGATTTAATCACTAGAATTTCTGGCACTAGAATTTTATTACCAAATAAAAATCCTCAGAGTTGGACACCTGGACATTACTACGGCACAGTTTTCTTCTCTATGGTTCGGGGTACTAAAGGCCAAGCAAATTACAGTGATTTTGCAAAGGTCCAAACTCTGAGTGTGGGTAAAGGTTGTAGAAAAGTCAAATTCTTTTTCCTATACTATCAAGCATCATCAATATTTAGGAAAATAGAGAAGTGATTTTAAGTGCATGTCATGGAGAAAGAAAGAAACAAAACTGGGGGGTTTCTGACAACTAAAGCGCGTGCCAAGTGATATCTCCCTTTGGTACTCAGCTTGGAGTATGCAGAATAGGCAAACAGATGGTGAGAGTGTGCGAAAATCAAAACAACTTCTGAAATGTCAGGCTATATAGTGAGTTTTGAGTGTTAAGCGGAATTATCCAAGATAGTGTCAGATGAAGTATGTGCCTGGAAACCTGGCCCTTCCCCCTACGAATTGGGAAACATTGGCCAAGTCACTTATTGTCTTAGTGGCTCAGTTTTCTCATCAAAAAACTGGAGATAATTGTTCTGAGAATTGCAGATGAAAAGAAAAATCTTTTAGGAAGTATAGAGCACAAAAAATGATAAGGCATAATCACTACTATGATTCAGTGATAAGGTGATTTTAAACAACTTAAGGTAATCAGAAATATGATTGATACCCAAGTTATATAATTCTTTCTTACCTTGTTCCAAATACAGTTAGGAACTAATCCTTAGAAAGTCCAGTTTCAAGTGGACTTTCAGTGGAAATAGATATTGCTTTCTAATTAGTTTAACTTTCTTCTAAATTATCTAGGACCTGTTTCATAAGAATCCCTTGATCACCAGAGTTTAATCAAGATTCCCCTCTGTGTTCTTCTGAAACTTTGGTGCTTAGAGATTTTACTTTTTTCCAGGATCCATTATTACCGTATTTGAGTAGCTATAAATAGCAAAATTTTTTCTGCCAACAAATTATCTGCATGCTTCAGCATTTTAGGGACCAATTTAGTAAACATTTACACTTTAAAATATTTTATAAATAAAAAATGGAATATATCTTTAAACAGTTTCAAGAAAGTGTAACTTGAAGATAAAAAAAGAAACATTTTAGTTGTAGACATTATTATTTTTATGCCCTTCCTTTACTATAGCTACTCATGCCCACTACTTGTTCAGATCAGATAGGCACAATATGTGGTTCTCAGGAGGATTTAACACCATTATCTTTCTATGATGTTCCTGAATGGCTTCTTTCATATTCAAAAGGCCTCTGGCAAGATCCTTTAGTGGATAATAATCAGACATGCACAGATATTTATATTTGACTAGCTGACTGAAACATAGTAAAGGACAAAACCTAGAAACATAATGCTGATGTGTCATTTTCTAAAACGGATCAGCAAATGAATATGGGACATGACCAACTATTGGAAGTAATTCCATTGTGAATTTGCCCAGATTTGGATAAGAAAAGACTTGCAGAGTAATTTTCAAGCCAAGTGACCCAGGAAGCCAATCTAGCCCTCAGTCATACAAGAAGATGAGACCTAAATTGCATTACAAGGCTACAGCAAGAAGTTGAAGTAAGAAAGCCCTCAGGATGATTTTTCTACCAGGGAAACTCTCACAGCCAGCACACGCGCTGCAGTTCTTTCCCTTTATGTAGCCCAACTCCTTCCCCAAGGAAGCATCAATCCTCAGGTTCAACAGTTCTGGTGAAGAGAAACCTGGGACCCTCCTGAGCACATTCGCACTGAGCAAAGAGAAAAACTCACGTTGGCAGCTTTACTCCATTAATTCTGATAAGAAAAGCATCAGAGCAGATACAGAATTCTGATCTACATGGAATATTAGTAATAATGATGACAAAACTAGGATTTATTAAATACTAGACACTATTCTAAGTAATTAATAGGCAGTATTTATTCAATAGCCTCAACACCTGTGAGATTGGTAATGCCATTACTATTTCTATTATTACACAGATGCAAAAACCGAGGCACTGGAAAAAAAAAATTGAGGCACTGAATGACCAGTCAACTTAAAGAAGATCATATAGCTGGTAAGCAGAGGGTGGGAGTATGCCTAAAAATGGATAAGGTTATGGAAACAGTAATAATTACAATGTTCTGTAAAGTTACTGTGTGCCAGGTACTGTGTTATGTTTCTGACACACATTATGTAATTTTTAGTGTCTTGATTTAGACAATAGAGGGATTCCCAGATCCTAAAGCTTTCTTCTAAATGGAAGAGCCTTCCACTGGAGAAGCCTCCAGGGCTCTTTGCTGCAACTCGAGCTCTTTCACGGAGGAGGAGAGAATCATTTGGTCGGTGAACTGTGGAGAGAGATTTGGGCCTGAAGCTGCAAGCTTTGCTTCTCTGGGGACAAGGAAGAGATTTTGTGCTTGTAGAAAGTATAGTTTCATCTTCTCTAAGCCATGAGCAAAGTTTGGGATGGGAGATTTTGTCCCCTATTGAGGAGGCCTGCACTTTTGGGGCGTAAGCTGAACTCAGAGGAGTCTGCCTTATATAGGTGGATACCAAAGCTTCAAGTACAAATTCTATCTGCAATAAAGCTGTGTTTTGATCTCTATCTAATGGACTCCCAAACCTACCCCTCTCTTAAATCTAAACATGGGCAGGGACTAGATCTATTATTTATAGCACGTCCTCTCACTCCAACATCTTAGGGTAAAGTTTTTTCATGTCTTAGCAGAAGTCTCCTAAGAGAAATCATCCCCGACTGTCCAAAATACTTCACAAGGGACTTGCTCATGTCACCTTGTGCATTTCCTAACTTCTTACTCCGTATTAACTTGCTCTTTATATGTCACCTGTGGTTGTTTGTTTCTTCTACTAGAAAATAAGTTCCTATGTCTAACACAGTACTTACTTAGTACACAATTGTTGAATATTTACTGAATGAGTAAATGAATGATGAATGAAATATTTTTACAGATGAGGAAAGTACATATAGAGAAGTTTACAGCCTTTCCATAGTCACTAAGCTAAAAGACACATGGTGTTAGAAAATATCTGATTGGTTTCAAGGTTCAATTTCTCAATCCCTGACTAATCCATCTCAATAATGTTCCTTATATAAACCATAATAATATGATATTATCTAAGGACTGAGATTTATATTACCTCTAAATTTACATTCCTAAATACATTTTAGTGGGGTGATTATATTCAAACCAAATTAGTTTTGGATTAAATGATGTATTTTTAAACTGATTTGCCTGTTAATCCATCAAAATAGTCACATACTCAACAATGTGAGAACAGAGAATGAGATTTATCAATAATTTCCAAGAAAAAATAGCATAAACACCCTTTAACCTATAAAATTAATCCAGTATATTCCCTCAACATCAGAGGGCAGTAAGGAAACGGTGGTTCGGGAATGTAAGCCAAGGTTAGATGGAGGAACAGAAATTTTTCAGTGGCTAAGAAGAAAGACTAACTCCAGTGCGTCGTAGAGCGACCTAGGTTGGTCTCTACTGTTAGGGATTGTGGGTGTTTACGTGTAAGTGTTACAGATGAGGACGGGAATGGTCATAATGATTAAGCACTGTTTTATTTTGGTAAAGGAGACATGTTTTAGTTTCTTATTGTTGTTATAATGAATTTACCACAAACCTCGTAGCCTGAAAAGAACCACCAATTATCAGTTCCAGAGGTCAGAAACAGGATGCAAGTTTCAGTAGCTAAAATCAAGATGTCAGTAGGACTACATCATTTCTGCAGACTCTGGAGGAAAAAATCTGTTTTCTTGCCTTTTCTAGAAGTTGCTTATGTTCCTGGGTCATGGTTCATTTTCTCCGTCTTCAATGCTGGTGGAGATGAGTCAAGTCCCTTTCACACTGCACCACTCTGGCCTCGCTCTTCCACTCTAGGATACACAAGGCTCACTTGGGTAATCCAGACACAGTACTCTCCCTGTTTTGAAGTCTGCTCATTAGCAACCTGACCTCCATCTGCTGCCTTAATTCTCCTTTTCAACATAAGATAACATATTCATAAGTGTGGAGATTAGGACATGGACATTTGTGGGGCAACTGATCTGCTACCACAAAGCCCATGGAGTAAGTTTTATAAGCATCGAGATCCTTCTCTGGTGATATGTTTAGGTAACCATTCTGAGAATCTCATCTTTTTTTCCCTGAAAGCAAGATGAATAAGAACTTTAGAGTTCGGTAGATGTATGTTCAAACCCAAGTTCCACCAGATACTACCTGTGAAACTAAATTAGGATAGTTACATTTTGAGATCATTGGTACGTATAAACAAGAATACCAAATATTTTATATCTTTATAGTTGTGACCACTAATATGTGATAAGCAAACATTACACTCTTCATCCCTACTCTAACTGTGAGTCTATCTCCAATCTTCCCACTTGGCATTAGGCCCTATTTTGGCATTTTGTCTTATCTTCTAATTTTCTGGTTAGAATCAGTACAAGATTCAGAATTGTATTTACAATTTTGGTTTATTGATTGCTTTTAAAATATTTATGACTATCTCCCAAGTGCCAAGTACTGTGCTAGGTGCTAGGATTCAAGGTACACCTAGCTCTTACACTCAGAAGCTCTGCTCCAGAGAAGGTAGATTTTGTACAATAAAGAAATTTTAACTGAAACAAAGTCTTTGTAAATAGGGAGGGGTGGAGGGGTTGAAGGGAGGGCAGAGGAATGGGGGAGAAAATAAGAACCAAGATATATCATATGAAGGTACAAATTCCCAAAAATGAATGTCATCATATTGTGTACCTAAAATGTACCTCAAAAAAAGAATTGATCACCACACCGTGCAAAGCGGATGTCATGGCAGATTGACTGAAGCTGCTTCAGGGAAAAAGACTGATTAAAATGAGTTGAGAGAGAATGAGAAGTGAGGAAATGGAACAACTTTAATATAAACTACTCCTTTGATGCTCTGTTAAATGCGGCAGGTGGGGGGGCGGGGAAATGAAGACAACAGTCATATTTACCAGCAAGCATTATTTTGAATGTGAAACATGTGAGTGGATACAGAAGATCTTTATAAATTCTAACCTACGATAAGAATATTATGTTATTTTTTGGCAGGAAGGATGGGAGAGAAAGGAAATGAGGCATCTTGAACAGCATCTTTAAGGCCTTGAATCTACCTATCCTAGTTTGTGTGTTTTGAAATACATGTTTGTGTTATTTATATCTAATAATACTTTTGGATGAATGAAGTAATCTAGAAATATTAGAGCCTGGTAATCTGATAAAAAGCAGTTATACACTATTAATTTGAGAGGAGGATCTTCTACAAACTTAGAAAATAAGTTTCAAATAAATAATGCAATATGTGTCGTACAAACCAAAAAAAATTTTTGGTGTACTTTATGGACCAAGTAGAGGAAACTAACCTAGAATAGAGGGTGAGATAGGATTTTTCTCTGCATGAGATCTCTCTTTAAATTTCCGTTTTTGTTTGGTTTTTTTTTGGTACCGGGGATCGAACTCGGGACCTTGCGCTTGCGAGGCATGCAGCAGAACCACTGAGCTAAATCCCCGGCCCATCTGTTTAAATTTCTTAATAAGCTCCATATCAGCATTTAAGTGGGATGACTCTCTGATAGTGGAAGGGCCTGCACTCTGTAGGATATTCAGCTTGCTGGACCCTGCTGCCCACTGAATGCAGAAAAACCCCAAAGCTGCTACTATAAGCAAAAATTGCCCACAAAACTCCAAAAGCCACATAGGAGGAAGAACAACTGTGGTGGAGAGGGGAAAGAAGAGTAATCAAAATGAGCAAAGGAAGACTGGGTGGTAAGCAGCATTTGGGGGTCTGTTTGGGAGAGAGCAACAAGATAAAGGCCTGAGAAGAGACTCCAAAGGTTGAGCTCGGTGTAGGATGTCAACTTTAGAGGTGAGGGCAATAGAGGGATTTTCAAGATTCTGAAGCAAGAGATTGAAAAGGATCAAGTTTGCTTCTTATCTGTAATGTTGCTTCATCCTAAAATCTGATTCCTGTTTGGGAATATGGTGGTAATACTTCCTGACATCTACATATTTTGCCAGTGTTTATTCAAAATATGTAGTTCTGCTGTATCATTTTGGCAGTAAGAGCCTGGGCAACTTCACCTGAGAACTGTACAGTGCACTACCCTTTCAACAATCATAGCTAATTGGAATTAAACACTTATTACACTGCTCTTCCTTCACTTCTGCTTTACCCTCACTACCGATGATTATGTTTACCACCAAAAAGAGAATAGATCTTTAAAAAAAGAAAGAAAGAAAAAAAGAACCTTAACTTGACATCCTTCAACTGCTGCATTCACAATTCTGGATCTTCATATCTAGACATTTGTCAGGATAGAAAAGACAAGAAGGGGTATATCTATTCAGGTAAAACTGACAATCAAACATTAAGTAGTTTCAAACTAAAATTCTGACGGGTTCTAATGCTTCATTTGTAAAATCTGAAGGAACTGACAACAAGTACTATGAAGTGAAAGTTACATGTTTTGTAGATAGTTTATGGTTTTGAAAAGTTCAAACTTTCCTCTCTTCTATTAAACAACTGAGAAAGATTACACTTGGATTTAGTTCTTCCTACAAATTCATGTGATTTTTCACTGAAAATTTTTTTTTTTTTGTACCAGGGATCGAACTCGGGTCCTTGCACTTTCAAGGCAGGTGGCAGAACCACTGAGCTAAATCCCCCGCCCCTTCACTGAAATTTTTACTTGATCAAGTTTTTCTGGAAATGCTGCTTTTACCTCTTAAACGGAATTCTTAGAACAGTGAAACTGACTGGAATTAATGTTATTATATTTTTATTAAATAAATTTCATTTTTTAAAAGTCCACACTTCTAGAGTTTTTTAATGTTCAGAGAAGACAAAAGCAGCATTTCCAATGACACAAAAAAGCATTATTTCTAAAATTGGAAAAAAAGCAGTGTACAAAAATGAAAGAATATAAAATCTTCAAATTAACTCTCTACATAAGAAGAAATACAATACTAGTCTTTGTAAAACCTAATGACAGATAACTTCCTTTAGTATATAGGAAGCAAG